AAATGCATATGTCATACGTCCAATTATGATATATGGAAACAATGTTATGCTAAAAATAGATTTTCAACTATTCACTTTTCTCCGCCAAGTTGCATCTCATATACTATATCTAGGAGTGTGATTCTGCTTTCTATGGTTGTCACATTGGATAGAACTTATTTTTCTACCCCAAATGTAAATGTCAGACGTCCAATTTTGATATATGGAAACAAAGTTATGTTAATAATAGATTTTCAATTATTCAATTTTCACCGCCAAGTTGTTAGGTATCAGTGATTACAATACACCTAGAAGGGGGGGGGGGGGGGGGGGGTTGAATAGGTGTAGCGGTTAGAGTGTCCGCTTTTCGAAAACAACACTTAATGCTGAAAAACACCTTGATTAATCGATTAACAGAACAGGGTAATCGATTAACACTTTCAACACAGTCCACGTAATCGATTAACAGATTAAAGTAATCGATTAACACACCACACTTAATCGATTAAACCAAGACAGAAAGCAAATGCAAGTACAGTTTCTTGCTCGACAATTAATTGATAATGAAACGATTATACCAGGCTTACAGAATATTATCAGAGTACAAGTAAAACAGTATAGACACTAATTATCAATTAAATCTACTTGACAAAATAATCGATCAAATGCAATAAAGAGATAGAGATAGAAAAAGTCCTGCAACAAGAATTTTATCCTGGTTCGTTTGCTTGTCCACCGCAAACTACATCCAGGCCTCCCGGCTGATTTGGGAGATTTTTCTTCACTATAATTGAATGAATGTTAATTACATACACACTATCCAATTACAACAATTAGACACTTACAAGATAAAAAGAAACCTATTCTATGGTTTGACTCCCTTCCTACCGACAAAGAAAACCTTTCTTTCGGCGTAGCCCCAGCCAAGAACCTTGTTCTTTACTTATCCCTAAGTCTAACACTCAGTGAAGACACACTCAATCTCTTGGTGATATGACACCTTGAGATTCCCACAATTACAACACTTTTTCAAACAAAACAATACAGAGTAAATTTAAGCTATAACAAGACTTATATCTAACAAGATAAGGCTTTACTCTAATCACCTAATACAAGCTCATGCAGTATGAAAAATGTATTAGTGAAAAACAGAATGCATAATGTGTAAACATCTAATCAAGAATCATGTAAAAATGCAAGAACATGTGACAAGAAAAGATGAGAAATGTATCATGAAAAGCACTCAATCCTAAAGCATAGAATTCTCTCTTTTCTAAGCTCACAAATGCATTTACAACTAGATGCAACAATTAACACGAAAATATGCTCTAACTCTCTAAAAATTTAACATGCAACTTATTGAGATCAATTCTGAAAATGCAGTTTATAAAGAATTGAAATAAAAGTCCAGTTAATCGATTAACGACAGCTTTAATCGATTAAGCTTCACGAAAATGTTAGATTAATCGATTGACATTTGTTGTAATCGATTACACTGTGCAAACAGTTAGATTAATCGATTAAGCCAAGTGGTAATCGATTAACAGCACTGTTTCATGTGTAAAAGCTTCAAATATGTTATGCACTTAAATTCATACATGTTTAATACTTAGATTATGCCTAGAATGCACATGTACATGTATTTATATGATGCATGAACATATTATGAATGACATATCTCAAGATGAAAAAAGATTTAAAAGATTTATGCAATTGAGATATGTATTAGGTGACTTAAGCCTTGGACTCAACCTAAACTAATCTAGTCTAAGCAAGATACCAATCGGAAGGCTTAAGCATGTTGATTTGTTGATGATCTTCAAGCTCATGTTAGCACAAGTTGTCCACATCAAAACCAAGTCATATAAGGAGAGCTTTCCAAAGTGTTCCTCTTGACATGCACACTTTCACAAGTTGCAATTCACAAACTATACCTCAGAAAGTGTTTCAGCTTTGTCTTGTTGTCACAATGGATATAACTTATTTTTCTAACACAAATGCATATGTCATACATCCAATTCTGATATACGGAAACAAAGATATGCTAAAAATAGATTTTAAACTATTCACTTTTCACCGTCAAGTTGCATCTAACAAACTATATCTCAGAATGATATTCTGCTTTCTCTTCTTGTCACAATGGATATAACTTATTTTTTTACCCCAAATGCATATGTCATACGTCCTATTCTGATATAAGGAAACAAAGTTATGCTAAAAATAGATTTTCAACTGTTCACTTGTCGCCGCCAAGTTGCATCTCCCAAATTATAGCTCGGAATGTGATTCTGCTTTCTCTGATTGTCACAATGGATATAACTTATTTTTATACCCCAAATGCATATGTCATACGTCTAAATCTGTTATATGGAAACTAAGTAATGCAAAAAATAGATTTTCAATTGCTCACTTTTCACCGCCAAGTTACTATGCACAAACTATTGCTCGGAATGTGATTCTGATTTCTCCGGTTGTCAAAGTGGATAAAACTTATTTTTCTACCCCAAATGCATATGTCACACGTCCAATTCTGATATACGGAAACAAAGTTATGCTTAAAATAGATTTTCAACTATTCATTTTTCACCGTCAAATTGCATCTCACAAACTAAAGTTCGGAAAGTGATTCTGCATTATTTGGTAGTCATAATGGATAAAACTTATTTTTCTACCCCAAATGCATATGTCATATGTCCAATTATGATATACGGAAACAATGTTATGCTAAAAATAGATTTTCAACTTTTCACTTTTCACGGTCATATTGCATTTAACAAACTATAGCTCAGAAAGTGATTCCGCTTTCTTTGGTTGTCATAATGAATAGAACTTATTTTTATACCCCAAATGCATATGTCACACGTCCTATTTTGATATACGGAAACAAAGTTATGCTAAAAATAGATTTTCAGCTATTCACTTTTCACGGTTGTCGCGACTCGATTTTCGGTTGGAAGACCGGTCGTGCGACTTAGGGAGAGGTGAACTCGATTCCTACCTCTTCCAATTATTTTGGAGTCGCCACTACGTTTTTTTGCGGTTAAAACGTAGAAAACTCTAAACATGCCCAATTAGGATAATGTGGTCTTTAACTAGAAATTCTGAGCTCAGGAGTCGATTACGGATCGGGGAAGGTATTAGCACCCCGTCCGCCCGTATTAAAACAGTACCCTCGCTAATAACATGGACTTTTATACCCTTAAAATTATTTATTAAAATTCTGTAAATAAAAACAAAATGTTTTATTTTTTATTGTTGTGTCTGACAAGAATTCAACTTGCTCCTACGTATCCCTAGCTGCAAAAGGGAAATCAAGGCTACGTAGTTCTGGTTTTGAAAATTAATTGGTGTTGGTTTAGTTTGTTTGAAAAGTTGATGTAAATTGTATTCTCTTTAAGAAAAGATGAAGCAGCAGAAACTAATGTCCGCACCATATCAAATCTTAAAGAGATTTTGAAATTAATTAAACTACTGTGTTAAGATTTATTTATCTTTAAGATATATATTATTTTTTTGAAATAATTGAGATGCATTGTTTGGAATTATTTATTTTTAAGATAGATGAAGTAGCAAGACTAATGCCCGCGCCGCATCATATCTTAAAGAGATTTGAAATAGTTTTAAAATATATTATTGAAATTATTCACCTTTAAGATAGATGAAGTAGCAAGACTAATGCCCGCGCCGCATCATATCTTAAAGAGGTTTGAAATATTTTTAAAATATATTATTGAAATTATTCACCTTTAAGATAGATGAAGTAGCAAGACTAATGCCCGCGCCGCATCATATCTTAAAGAGATTTGAAATAGTTTAAAAATATGTTATTAAAATTTATTCACCTTTAAGATAGATGAAGTAGCAAGACTAATGCCCGCGCCGCATCATATCTTAAAGAGATTTGAAATAGTTTTAAAATATATTATTAAAATTTATTCACCTTTAAGATAGATGAAGTAGCAAGACTAATGCCCGCGCCGCATCATATCTTAAAGAGGTTTGAAATAGTTTAAAAATATGTTATTAAAATTTATTCACCTTTAAGATAGATGAAGTAGCAAGACTAATGCCCGCGCCGCATCATATCTTAAAGAGGTTTGAAATAGTTTTAAAATATATTATTGAAATTATTCACCTTTAAGATAGATGAAGTAGCAAGACTAATGCCCGCGCCGCATCATATCTTAAAGAGGTTTGAAATAGTTTTAAAATATATTATTGAAATTATTCACCTTTAAGATAGATGAAGTAGCAAGACTAATGCCCGCGCCGCATCATATCTTAAAGAGATTTGAAATAGTTTTAAAATATATTATTGAAATTATTCACCTTTAAGATAGATGAAGTAGCAAGACTAATGCCCGCGCCGCATCATATCTTAAAGAATGTTTGAAATAGTTAAAAAATATATTATTGATAAAACTAATTTGTCTAATAACATATAATTATTAGATTTTAATATAACATCTTTGATTAATTAAGATTACTCATTTGGTATAATACAAAAAAAACAAATAAATAAAAGAAGACATAAACAAACAAAAAAAAAAGTTTACTGGGCTCGGGTTAGGCCCAGCTAAGAAAACGAATTGAAGGGGGGAGGGGTTAGTTTTAGGTTTGTCATTTTTGACTTGGATGGCATGGGAGAGTTTAGAAGAGGGAAGTGAGAAGAAGAGAGAAGTGAGAAGAAGAGAGAAAATCGCGGAGGTGAGAAGACGAAGGCGATTCGTTTCTAGTTTCCTTCTCCGATTATCTTCTCCGTCGAAGGTGGCTAATGGCTTGCTGTGGTGGTGGGGTTCGACGCCATCATCCTCTTCCTCTGTTTTTCGTTTTTGCCGGCGATGACATTAATGGAAGACGAAGGAAATTGCTCTTTTCTGCTCGGTTCAAGCCAATAACGATCTCCACCACGAAAGGAAGCCTCAAATTTTAGTAATTCTCCCCTCTCAAACCACCTCCTTCACGGTTACTCAAAAAAAAAAAAAGCAGAGGTACTAGAACTCTAACCCCATTCAATGCAATATTTCATTCCATTTTATCATCATAAATCAGTGACACACATGTAAAGTCGGGTTTTAATTTATTCATAAAAAGATCGAAACTGTTTGGATGTCATTGCAATGCATTTTTCGTTTTATCCTTATGTGAACATGGAGGTATGTATTTGTTTAATACCGACAAACAATGCGTTTATTCGAATGACATGGGATGAACAACTTACCTGAATGTATGCTTTTAGCCCTTTTGGATGTTAACCCTCTCTTTTTGGTTGTTTTCTCCCAATACGTATGACCCTTTTTGTGTAATGTCGGTACGTCGTTCCTGGATTGCTCTCTGATTGGATATGATGTGTGATATGTGGGATAGATAGCTGTAAGTATGGTGTTGTGTATTTAGGACAGTAAATTTAAGGAGTTAGGACTATGACTTTGGTTATGTATGTGCGATAGGTATATGGAATTTTTAGCAACTGACTTTTTGGTGTTTCGGTTTGCTTTATCTATGGCCAATGTCTGTGATATGCGAATATGTGGTATGGTGATTATGCAGGATGTCTGTAAAAAAGGTATCTGGTTGTATGTCTTTTGCTACTAAACTTTTCAGAATCATGAACATGTCCTTATGTATTTGTAGCTTGGTCTTCTTATAGAGTTGGGACTCTACTGTGAAATCCTTTCAGTTGCCAACTGTTATCTTTCTGAATGTATGAATGTGTAACTGTAGGGGAAATGAATTCTGTTTTAATGTGTTAAAGGCTCTCCATCATTGCAATTTGCAACTGAAATAGGATAGTAATTTCAGAGTTTGATTTGCAGCCTACTCATAACAGCCATGACCCCTTGTGACCACCTCTTTAATGTCTTGATTACTCTGATTTGTAGCCTGCTCATAATTGACATCTTAATGCTTTTTGTTTCTGATTTTTGCATTCAAGATTATCTACCGATGCCGCTTAATGATTCTGATTGTAACTGCAAACTAGCATATTCCAATAGGCAGCCATCTGACGTGTATTTTTCTTGAAATTTTGGTTGGTTTAGAATGAGTTAGCAACTACCAACCTGGTTCACCTAAAACCGATATCCTAGCGGGACCAATTCACAACTTAAGTGGAACTAACTGAATCAAAAGTGCCATGTATGATTGCATAGCTTATATCTAAGTAATGTTGAGATTCATTATGAATGTATGCAGGTATGTATCAAATTGCAGTATGTTTTGCTTTTGTGTAGCTGACTCTGAATATGACTTGAGAGAAGGATCTGAACAATACCAATTTATTGATCTTTTCGGCTCATCACGTGCTTGGATATTCCTCTGAGTGTGACCTGGAATGTTGCTAATACTCCTCTTCTTTCTATTGCCAAACCAGCTAAATTCATTGTTATAAAGAGTCGTCATGTACAGTTCTGGTTCCAACATTATGTACCTCATGTAAAGGATAATTTGCCTATGGAACACTTTATTTTATTTCTTCTTTTTTGTTATGGTTGACCATTAAAACAGCTTTAGCAAAGATCATGCAGAGATAGAAATGCTATCAATTATTATTACTTAAGTTCACCAACCATATCATGAATAACTTAAGCAAACCTTAAATGATTATTGCTTTTAAAATATGTTCCAATATGTACCAAAAACATGCATTCATATGTTATCGAGTTGCTATTATCCACACCTCTCTTCGCCGCATTACGGAATATCTTACAACATATAACACATGCCGAAGAAAGTTGTCCGGTAGGACAAAATTGAGTGTTCACAACGGTCAAGTTGCATCTAACAAACTATATCTCATAATGTGATTCTGCTTTCTCTTCTTGTCACAATGGATAGAACATATTTTTTTTACCCCAAATGCATATGTCATACGTCCAATTCAGCTATATGGAAACAAAGTTATGCTAAAAATAGATTTTCAACTGTTCACTTTTCTCTGCCAAGTTGCATCTCACAAACTATATCTAGGAGTGTGATTCTGCTTTCTATGGTTGTCACATAGGATAGAACTTATTTTTCTACCCCAAATGTAAATGTCAGACGTCCAATTTTGATATATGGAAACAAAGTTATGTGAATAATAGATTTTCAATTATTCACTTTTCACCGCCAAGTTGCAATTCACAAACTATACCTCGGAAAGTGATTCTGATTTCTCTCGTCGTCATAGTGGATAAAACTTATTTTTCTACCCCAAATGCATATGTCACACGATCAATTCTGATATACGGAAACAAAGTTATGCTTAAAATAGATTTTCAACTATTCATTTTTTACCGCCAAATTGCATCTCACAAATTAAAGTTCGGAAAGTAATTCAGATTTATTTGGTTGTCACAATGGATAAAACTTGTTTTTCTACCCCAAATGCATATGTCATATGTCCAATTCTGATATACGGAAACAATGTTATTCTAAAAATAGATTTTCAACTGTTCACTTTTCACCGTCATGTTGCATCTAAAAACTATAGCTCGAAAAGTGATTCTGCTTTCTCCTGGTTGTCATAATGAATAGAACTTACTTTTATACCCCAACTGCATATGCCACATGTCCAATTTTGATATACGGAAACAAAGTTATGCTAAAAATAGATTTTCAACTATTCACTTTTCACCGTCAAGTTGCATCTAACAAACTATATCTCATAATGTGATTCTGCTTTCTCTTCTTGTCACAATGGATAGAACATATTTTTTTACCCCAAATGCATATGTCATACGTCCAATTCTGATATATGGAAACAAAGTTATGCTAAAAATAGATTTTCAACTTTTCACTTGTCGCCGGCAAGTTGCATCTCCCAAATTACAGCTCGGAATGTGATTCTGCTTTCTCTGATTGTCACAATGGATAGAACTTATTTTTATACCCCAAATGCATATGTCATATGTCTAAATCTGTTATATGGAAACAAAGTAATGCAAAAAATAGATTTTCAATTGTTCACTTTTCACCGCCAAGTTGCATCACAGAAACTATATCTCCGAATGTGATTCTGCTTTCTCTTGTTGTCATAATGGATAGAACTTATTTTTCTAACACAAATGCATATGTCATACGTCCAATTATGATATACGGAAACAAAGTTATGCTAAAAATATATTTTCAATTGATCACTTTTCACCGCCAAGTTACTATTCACAAACTATTGCTAGGAAAGTGATTCTGATTTCTCTAGTCGTCACAGTGGATAAAACTTAATTTTCTACCCCAAATTTATATGTCACACGTCCAATTCTGATATACGGAAACAAAGTTATGCTTAAAATAGATTTTCAACTATTCATTTTTTACCGCCAAATTGCATCTCACAAACTAAAGTTTGGAAAGTGATTCTGCTTTATTTCGTTGTCACAATGGATAAAACTTATTTTTCTACCGCAAATGCATATGTCATATGTCCAATTCTGATATACGGAAACAATGTTATGATAAAAATAGATTTTCAACTGTTCACTTTTCACCGTCATGTTGCATCTAACAAACTATAGCTCGGAAAGTGATTCATCTTTCTATGGTTTTCATAATGAATAGAACTTATTTTTATACCCCAAATGCATAAGTCACACGTCCAATTTTGATGTACGGAAACAAAGTCATGCTAAAAATAGATTTTCAACTATTCACTTTTCACGGTCAAGTTGCATCTAACAAACTATATCTCATAATGTGATTCTGCTTTCTCTTCTTGTCACAATGGATAGAACATATTTTTTTACCCCAAATGCATATGTCATACGTCCAATTCTGATATATGGACACAAAGTTATGCTAAAAATAGGTTTTCAACTGTTCACTTGTCGCCGCCAAGTTGCATCTCCCAAATTATAGCTCGGAATGTGATTCTGCTTTCTCTGATTGTCACAATGGATAGAACTTATTTTTATACCCCAAATGCATATGTCATACGTCTAAATCTGTTATATGGAAACAAAGTAATGCCAAAAATAGATTTTCAATTGTTCACTTTTCACCGCCAAGTTGCATCTCAGAAACTATATCTCCGAATGTGATTCTGCTCTCTCTTGCTGTCACAATGGAATGAACTTATTTTTCTAACACAAATGCATATGTCATATGTCCAATTCTGATATACGGAAACAAAGTTATGCTAAAAATATATTTTCAATTGTTCACTTTTCACCGCCAAGTTACTATTCACAAACTATTTATTCAGAAAGTGATTCTGATTTCTCTAGTCATCACAGTGGATATAAGTTAATTTTCTACCCCAAATGCATATGTCACACGTCCAATTCTGATGTACGGAAACAAAGTTATGCTTAAAATAGATTTTCAACTATTCATTTTTCACCGCCAAATTGCATCTCACAAACTAATGTTCGGAAAGTGATTTTGCTTTATTTTGTTGTCACAATGGATAAAACATATTTTTTTACCCCAAATGCATATGTCATATGTCCAATTCTGATATACCGAAACAATGTTATGCTAAAAATAGATTTTCAACTGTTCACTTTTCACCGTCATGTTGCATCTCACAAACTATAGCTCGGAAAGTGATTCTGCATTCTATTGTTGTCATAATGAATATAACTTATTTTTATACCCCAAATGCATATGTCATACGTCCAATTCTGATATACAGAAACAAAGTTATGCCAAAAATAAATTAACAACTATTCACTTTTCACCGCCAAGTTGCATCTCACAAAATATAGCTCTGAAAACGATTCTGCTTTATCTGGTTGTCACAACAGATGGAAATTATTTTTTTAACCCAAATGCATATCTCACACGTCCAATTATGATATACGGAAACAAAGTTATGCTAAAAATATATTTTCAACTATTCACTTTTCACTAGCAAGTTGCATCTCACAAAATATAGCTCGAAAAGTGAATCAGATTTCTCTCGTTGTAAAAATGGATAGAAATTATTTTTCTACCCCAAATGCATATGTCACACGTCAATTCTGAAATATGGAAACAAAGTTATGCTGCAAATAGATTATCAACAATTCACTTTTCACCGCCAAGTTGCAATTCACCAACTATAGCTCGAAAAGTAATTTTGATTTGTATGCTTGCCACAATGGATAGAACTTATTTGTCTACCCCAAATGCATATGTTACACATCCAATTCTGATATACAGAAAGAAAGTTATGCTAAAAATAGATTTTCAACTATTCACTTTTTACCGTCAAGTTGCATCTCACAAACTATAATTCGAGAAGTGATTCTGATTTCTCAAGTTGTCGCAATGGATTGAACTTATTTTTCTACCCCAAATGCATATGTCACACGTCCAATTCTGATATACGGAAACAAAGTTATGCTAAAAATAGATTTTCAACTTTTCAATTTTCACCGCCAAGTTGCATCTCACAAACTATATCTCGGAAAGTGATTCTGCTTTATTTTGTTGTCATAATGGA